CATGAAATGGATTCCACCTGGACGAACTCACAGTGTTACAAATGTCCTTGTTCCTCCACCGGCATGACATGCTGTGACACGTAAGAATCGAACTTCTCCTTTTCCCCTCAGTAATGCAGAATCATGCAGCATCTGTTTGTAGTATCTCTAATCTGTTTTCTGCAGAAGATGCTGCAAACTGAACAATTCTCAGTAGAGAAAAGAAGAAGTATAAATATTTAAAATCTGCAAATCTTCAGCACAGCTAGTGTGTTTTGTAGATTATTTTAAATTTTAATTTCTCTTCTTTTTATACTTCTGAATATACTTCTGTTTTGAGTGCTTAGAGCTACACAAAGACATTAAATGTATAATTTGCTTTCAGCATTGTTCCACCAAGTAACCCAAATCCTACAACCTGCACTGTGGTGTACGACTATCAGACCTGCCAAGCCAACCTTGTGAGCAGAGATGACCCGTTATTAACTAACTGAAGAGTGGGACTCCATCACAGCTGTTGAAGTGCTTCAGAGATGCTGTACTTTCTTCTTAAAGTAAAAACAATGAACAGAATGTTTTCTGCACGTGTTTCAAAATGAAAAACACAAAAGTTCTCAATACCAAACACTGTAAGCATTTCACTGTAAAATGACAGTAATTTACTGTAATTACGGTAAAATTACAGTAAAAGTAGCTGCATTACTTTCACAGTAATTTACTGTACAATGTTAACAGTAAACAACAGTTAAATAACAACTTTATATTGTGACTCCACGGTGACCGCACAAGATTAATGTCATTTAGCTGTATTCTGCTGTACTAAATAAGTAATAAGCTGTAATTTACTTTACATTTACATATGAAAAAAATATTACAATGTGTTTTTACTAAATAATACTTTTTAACTTTCCTTTGCTGTTATATCCCACAATGCTCTGTGGTACAGCTCAACATCAAAAGCACAGTAATCTACTGTGTTATTACAGAGAATGTCTTAAGATGAGTTCATTTCAAGGTAAAATGATGAATACAGCATATTACTATGAAACATTTGTGTTAAATATGGTGAAATATGGCAATAATTAACAATGTACTCAGTAAAAGCAATGCCAAGTGCAGTAAAAGTTTCAGGGTTAAACAGCCTAGTAATATACAGGGTGATTCAAAAAGATTCAACCAATTTCAAAATGATTTATTTCACTTGTAAATCATTACAGAATAATGCAGTGAACTGTAAATGGTTTAAATGAGCATAAAGTTTATTATGTAATTTTACAAGTGCTCAATATGAACCTCCTGCAGCTGTACGGACAGCATCAACGCCATAGTCAAATTCATCCCATACTCAATCGATCGGCTCTTTCAATACGATTTCAGAGATCATCCAGTGTTGTGGAACCAATGACGAACACTCTGAGCTGTTGTAGGTTCACTGCAGACAAAAATCATGCTGCACAGTTATGACAGATTCACTCTTATTGAGGTGGAGAACGCAAAACGCTTTCTGCTCAGGGGTCGCATCTCCTCGCTGACTGAAGGGAGCCATCTTCCAGTGACAGTCAGAAACTCTATGACCTCTTCTGTCAATTGGTATGTGATTGGTTCCTAGGCGCCTCATGGTTGTAAAAATATGGTGCTTTGAAATCGGATGAATCTTTTTGAATCACCCTGTACTTCTAAGGCTCAATCTCTCCCAGAAAAGAAAAGCATCAGAGGAAAAGTGATTTTATGCACGATGCCTTTCAGCACTTGGCGGCCCTCCTCTGTGAGTTTATGTGGTCCACCACTTCGTGGCTCAGCTGTTATCACTTCTAGATGCTTCCATTTCACAATAATAGCACATACAGATGTGCATTCAAAAGTATGAAGAATATATAGAGAGATATTGAATTGATATTGAATCTACAATTGGAGAATTGGAGATTTTGAATATTCTGAATATTATTTTCTCTACAGAGGTAAGAATTGTTCAGCATCATCTGCAGCACATAAACGATCACAGATAACTACAAACAGTGTGCAGCTGCATGATTCTGCATTACTGAGGGTAAAAAGGAGAAGTTCTGTTCCTATGTGTCACTGCATGTCATGCCAGTGGAGGAACAATGACATTTGTAACACTGTGAGTTTGTCCAAGTGGAATCTATTTCATGATCTGACCCATCAGTTTCATCAGTAGTTTGCATGACTTAGCTATTGTGTTATTGTTCACTTTTTTTTACACGGTTCAGAAAATAATCTGGAAACATCAGGCACAGTTAAAGCTGGAGATGAAAGTAGACTTTCTATCAAAATTTCCAAAAGTTGTCCACAGTGGTGGTGATGGGAACCAGACGTCTGAAGAGTTTAATGTCTCTAAAAGCTCCCTCACATTATGTTAATATATAAAATGGTAATGAATATCGCTGTTGTCGGAAGAAAACCTTGTATCTCCATTTTTGTAGGTTTTCAGTTTTTGACATACTTTGTTGTCTTTTACATTATGTGTAAATTTCCTGACGAAGGGACCAAAAGAAATGGCCCAAAATGACTCGGAAAAAAGTCTGGTTCCATTGACTTACATTAAAAGTAAAGTAGGCTTTTTCCTTCTCCTGTAAAGTTACCATTTTGGAGATACAAGGTTTTTTTCTGGCAACAGTGATATGCTGTCTGATGTTTGAGACATTCAAGTCAGTTACTTTCACTTTCACTTTGAGCGACTTTGTTTACATCTTAACCATTTAAATACACAGAAATTCCAAGCGGCCTTTTTTTTATTTATTTAGTCCTTACATACTTGAGGGCTATCTGGAATGACATTGGCATTGGACTGTCCCACTCTTTGAGCCACTGTAGGCCTTGTGATCAGAGGCTCCTGAGGAGTGAGAGGAAAGAGACCCCTGGACAATAGCGTCACTGTACTGTGTGTGAGTAGGCAATGTGTGAGAGCTGTAGTGGTCACAATGCCACATCACTCGTAGGTGTCAACCTCTAGAGACATTAAAATCATTACAATCAGCAACTACAATTTTTCTGTTTTGGCTTGTTGGTTGGTTTCAGCTTTGGTGTCCTAAAATGTCTGTTTTTGGTGCAGTTACAGTTTGAAATACACCTTAAAAATTCCATTCTTGGATTTCCATAATCAACCAATAATTGCTTAAATCTAGTGCTAAGCTTAACTTTACCTCACATCAGAAATCTCCCACCTTAACTGAAAGACCAAAAACACTCAAATTCTGCACTCTGCATTTATTCAAGCATAATTTATCACATAAAAACCTGTTATTAAATTGGTGCTGCGATTAAAGCACAAAATAGTCAAGGTTTATTTATACAGAGCTTTTTACAACAGACGTTTTCACAAAGCAGCTTTACAGAAAGATCCACGTCCAAGTCCCCATGAGCGTCGCCAATGGAGACAGTGGCAAGAAAAAAAACTCTAAGAGCAAGAAGAAGAAACCTGAAGAGGAACCAAGACTCAAAAGGGGAACCCCTCCTCTCTGGTCGGCACCGGTTTGCAAACAACGTTAGTATAAAACATTAAAATGCAGAAACGGGGAAAAACAGGTGAAGCAATGTTGATGATTAAATGGTTAGTGTGTGAAGCAGCGGCAGCATCAGGAGGGTCAGTAACATGCGGGTGAGGTTTGCACAGCATTGTACAGCAGGAAGCTCAATGTCAAATTATTCCTTTCGAATTTTTATCTGACCACAAATTATTTTCTCACATCATAATTGGGTCTCTCTCATTCTTTATGGTGAACTCTCACATACAGGCCGGTTTTATGCAGAGCTCTTATATGTTGGGCACCTTCATTCCACTTTAAAAGTCTTTGCTGTCTTATCTCTGACTCCCCTCATTAAGTCTACATCTTCAGCTCATGTGCTGTGTGGGGATGTTGGGGTGTAGAGATTGCAGGACTGCATTATTTTACATGATCGCATGATCACATGACAGTGTAGAGACAGGGTTCCCCTCAAATAGTCTACTTCTAATCCCTTACGCAGTCCAATGAGGATATTTCTGGCTAAACGTCAGCCAGCTTGTGCCGCATAGGCCACATAGACACATCCTCCATTCCCCCTCTCTTTTTTTTTCCTGAATGAATCTCCCCCAGAGCCGGTTTATGAGGAACCTGGCCATTTCCTACCCAACCCCCCTTTATATCAAAAACAGGACTGCTGAACAGCAGAGGGCGCCCACAAGGGAGTCCTTAATGAATGGGAGTAAATGGAGCTCAATGGCTAAAAACGAAAAGTTAAAATAGTTTCTAATCACTCGCCCAGAACGTTTCTTTGATTTTAGAAAGTAGAAGGATGTATTTCACTAAAAAAAACAAAGAAATCTTACCTGTATCTTTCCTTTTTTCTACAGCAAACAGGTTTTGGGCAGCAGAAGGCGGGCATTACTGCAAGAGCATGACGATTGATTGGCGAGTAGCTCATTGGCTGTTCGCGCTCACTGACGTCATGGACATCCATGAGGTGCCGTTTTAAACTACTATAACTCCAGTTTAAAAGCTCTTAAAAATATAACAGCGGTGTTAAATGTTTTATGCTATTCAGTGTTCAGAAAATGATTGTATTCTTTTACATTAAAAATGTTTATAAACTATGATTTTGCTCGAATGCTCCATATCAACCCATTCATCTACCGGCCAGTATAAGGGAAGCCCTGGACGGCATCATATGGCATGGTCTCTCTTCTTAGACTTCTCAGGAATCTTTACAGGATTTCTGACAGATACTGAATTTCACTTGTAACAAACATCTTCTGTTCTAAAGTGAAGCATGGTGGTGGGAGTATTGTGGGTTTGAGTTAAACTTACCTCCATCCTGATCATTCTGATATAAAATACCTGCATGTGTCTGTTTTTAGCATGAACCCATTCTTTATTGATTGTTCTCCCACAATCATTTTAAGCTAATGTCCAAAATGGGTTTTCTATTGGTTCCTATGAAAAAAATAGCACCATAAATGAACTATACTGCACTTATACACATCCAGACTGGATCGTTGAAGGAATGACAGCACAATGGTGCAGAATGAAAATGGATCATTTTAATGTGTCAAAAATCTGCAATCATTATTAGTGTTTAAGGCTGTAGTGCATTATCTTTAAGCCAGATTAGCTATGCAGTATTTTAAAGTGTCTGAAGGTTATCAGTATGACTGTACTTTACAATCCATCTTTATGTATGTGTATGAGTTCTTATATTTATATTGTGTATCAGGACTAACTGGCTTAAATTACTTATTTACTTATACTTAAATGCTTGAATATTTTATGAATGTGTATATCTGAGTACCTGCTCTTCTATTAAGCTTGATTTTTAAGAATGCTGAATTTTTAAGAATTACTGAATACTGAATTACTGCATTTCTTGATGATCACTTAAGAACAGCAGCATGAGGGCACTCAATCGTTGGGTCACTCTTTTTGAACACTTTAAATGTGCAGGTGTCGTAATCGTACTCCACGGTGCAGTCTTCGGCAATGTTCATAACTCTTGGCATTCTGTGAAATAAATAAATTCATGAATGACAACAGAACTTCACAGTAGCCACGTTTACATGCAGCCTGATAATCCGTTAATAATCCGACTAATAGCTCAATCGGAATAGAATACGTCCATGTAAACACCTCAATCGGAATAGTCTAGTCCGACTGAGGCCATTCGGAATACAATTTCTATCTGATTGAACAAGGTGGGTAAACTTCTAAATAATCCGTTAAATAGAAGAATAATAGCCATGTAACTGCCTGAATCCGATCACATTCCAATCGGAATGTGTAAGTACGTTCTGCATGTTCGTCGCATTATAGTGAAAGTTTATAACGTTCAACATGGCGGAGCAGAAACTGGTCTGCAGAGGAGACGAAGTTTATGCTCTGATCTTTAAAAGACGGCGGTGGGACGGACGTCCAGCTTATGTGTCTAAGAACACGACGTCTTCCTCTCGGCCTTCTTTAATAAGGACATGTGAAGGACGTTTTCCTGAGTCTGACATCATTTTAAAGCAATTAAAAACACAAGTGCGCCAACTGGAAACTCATCTCACGCGGACTGGACCTCACGTGATGTTCGCTGTCATGGTAACGTTTACTCTAAGTGCTACTCCACGCATGCGAGTCATTTTGCATCGGATTACTTGTAGTGAGCATGTAAACGAAGATTTTCCATCAGATTGTTGAATAGAGTGTTCATATAAACACCTCAGTCTGAATACAATCGGACTGGCAAAAATCTTTGCATGTAAACACAGCCAGTGTCTGAAGAACGCGATAAACAAGAAATAGGTCTCATCGGAGCTGAAACTAAATAAAGAAAGCCTGAAAAAAAGCAACTATTTAAAATGCACTATGCATTTATTTTCTAGAATTTTAACATTTAACTCTTCTGAGAACAACACTTCACGTTACTTGCTATACATACAGAACTGTGGAAAAGTCAGAGGACACACTTTCTTTTATTTTTCATATGTTTATTGTAGCACTCACAACTATTAAAAGAGACACTGCTTTTTGCTGCTTGCAAGTAGTGGTGCTTTATCCTCCGGCTGTTGTTGGCCACAGCCACGCCACATATAAGCCAAGCTTTTCTCTGCCTAATAGCTTGTTCTTTACATAGCTCACGTCTCTCACTCTCCCTCTCTCTCTGCTCACACACACACACATACAAACACCCCTGGGGAGGTTCCTAGCTCCACTCTCTACAATAAGAGTCCATAGCAAAATGAACCAAGTGCTAGAGAACACATAACCCAAAACTAAGATGCTAAAACATTTCTTGAGCACACTACAAAGTTTTTGGTATCTTTTATATATTTTTTAGCTCTTCTCTTTCAAAGGTCAAAGCTTTAAGCGCTTTTTTATCTGACAGGGACAGTGTTGGTGGTCTACCAGGTGTTACAGGTGCTTGTTAAGAGTCCCATTTTCTCTGTAGCTTTTAATCATTTTTTAAACACCAGTTTTGGGAACTCCTAATTTTTCACGTATTTCCCTTTGACTTTCTCTTCTATTATGTAAGTAAATGATCTTTTATTTAAGCTAACCCCCTCAGAAATATCTCCATTAGCCACTTTAGGTGCACATGAGAAAGAAATCTGCAAGGCAGCTGAGGTGAGTTTGTGTAGTTGCTTGTGTGAATATTAGTGCCTGTTTGATGTCAGTGATGTCAGAACGTCAGTGACACCTTTGAGAATCTTTTGTTGGTGCCACACAGCTGTTTTAAGTTCAGAACTTAAAGCAGCACTAAGCGTACAAATGTAGAGAGTGGACAAATTAAATATTACTAGATTCAAAATTATACATTGTGTACATTAAAATATACTTTAATGTAAATATGTCTCCTGCTTTTTTCCCTGACACTCAAAATAACTTCAACTTTACTGGACTGGAAATTAAGCAAATGAAAGGGTGATCTCTGACTTTTGTACAGTACTGCACAATAGATTCTCTGAAAAAGGCAGACAATTCACTTCATTTCCTTCCTGCATGACTTGAATATGTGGAGAAGAACAAAAACGAATCCTTGAACGATTCAGGATTTTTATGAGCCCAAACTTGACATAAATGTGAAACCGAAAAATGCCGTTGGATTGGAATAATAGGATGTGAAAGTAGATTAAACGTGTCTGAAGTCTAAAAAAAGAATGAAAATGTACTGTGTTGTAAATAGCACATCATTTTATTTGAATGAATTGAATCTTTTACGGAATTAAGGAGAGCTGAATGTATTTTGTTTGTACATATGTTATGTGTGTGAGTGCTGTGCTGTGTATAGCAATCCTTTCCACATTTACCCATAACAGCAGGTCAATGAAGTACTGTCACAGTCACACTGATCACATCTGCTGTTGGTCCAGGAGGATCCCACAGGGTGCCAGGTCTTATCCGCACCATCCTGACAATGAGTCGCACCTATCAAAGGTCAAATTTCCACCCAAAAACCAGGGTTTAGTGAAAAAACCACAACCATATTATGGCATAACTCTGTCTTTGTATGTGTTTGTGTGCAAATACCCTCTTTGAGGAAGCCCTTCCAGCAGCCGGCCTCGTTCAGAGGAATGAGAGCAAACAGGACAAACCCCACGAACACTGACCTCTTCTACATGGACAGTGAGACAAAAAGCAAATAAACGAATTTGGCAGATAACGGTTTCAAACTTCAAGGGTCAGTTTCCCAGATTAAGCCTAAGCCTAGACTGAAAGGACATTTAAAAAGACATTTGAAAAGGGTTCTATATAGCACCTAAAGGGTTCTTCTGTTGTTAAAAGATTGACATCGAAACAATAGAAGAACCCTCTTTGGTGCTATATAGAACCGTTATTAAAAAGGGTTCTATATAGAACTATTTCAGCACATTCTTCATCAATCTGAAGAAACCCTTTCACGAAAAAAGAGTTTAGAACCCCCAGCCCACCTATTTAAAACTGTTTTAAATAATATAGAAAATAAATGATTACTTATTTAATTTAACAAGAAAATCTCTGGACTCTACAAATAAGTAATAAGTACATAATTAGAGCCCCCCGGTGGTTCGGGGGTTATAAACGATTGCTTATATAACTTTTTGCCAGAAGCTGTTAACGACTGCATGGAGATTTCTAAATGTGACATCATCAAACTGACCCTATAGTGGTGAACAGTTCTAGTGCACTGTAACAGATGCCAGCTGACTAAAACAGACGTTTCTGTGATATCGTGAACTTACCATGGCTCCAGTGTTACTCGTGAGCGTGTGTATTTTTCCCCTCTCTCTCGTCTTTTCTACTCCGCTCCAGAGCCGTATAGATATATAACCTACGGATGTAGATCTATACGGCTCTGCTCCGCTCCTACCTTTCTTTCACCTCATAGGTGGATCGAGGTGTCACTCTTCACGGTCTCCTTTAGACCAATCGGAGAGCACGATCTGACCAAAAGGGGGCGGGACTTCGAGTTTAAAAGCTGCGCGGCGGCGCTTGCGCAACAGTCCCTCGGCTCACTCGTTTGGTTGGCGGCGGTCTGCGGCTCTGTTTAGTGAAGGCTGATGTGTTCGGTTACTTTGTTTACTATACACGTTAACTCTTAACTGGACTGTCCTGACGGCTCTGTTGTTCTCGCCACCGTCACACTGTTAACTCTTTGTTTACTGGGCAAAGGTACTGTCTGTTCTTACTGTTTTGTGCTGGTTTCTTCTGGGAGGAAGAACACTATAGAACGTGCGCGCGCTTACGTTGCCACGCGTGCGTGCGTGCGTGCGTGCGTGCGTGTGTGTGTGTGTGTTGACACACTAGTTTAGCAGTTAGCTGTTTGGTTTCTGTTAGCTAGATAAAATACTGAAAATACAGCCTAAAATACAGGGTGTCCCAAAAAAATTGACATCATTTCATAGTCTAATAACAGCCAATTCTCCCTCAAATTATCTCAAATTTACACAAAATGTGTAAACACTAGCACGGTGGCGCAGTGGGTAGCGCTGTTGCATCACAGCAAGCATGGCCTGGGTTTGATTCCCGGCCGGGCGACCGGGGTCCTTTCTGTGTGGAGTTTGCCTGTTCTCCCTGTGTCTGCGTGGGTTTCCTCCCACAGTCCAAAGACATGCAGTCAGGCCAACTGGACATGCTAAAATTGCCCCTAGGTGTGAGTGTGTATGTCTGTCTATCTGCCCTGCGATGGACTGACGACCTGTCCAGGGTGTATCCTGCCTTCCGCCCAATGACAGCTGGGATAGGCTCCAGCACCCCACCGCGACCCAGAAGGATAAGCAGTCTAGATTGAAGATCTAGGTTGAAGAATGCACTACAAATGAAAAGGCATTTTGTGTGTTAGAATATGCGCGAACACAGTCAAACAAGAGTGTGCAGCGTGCATTTTCAAGAAAATTCAATAAAAGCGCACCAACTGGAGACCATTACGCCAGACATGCTACAGCGTGTTTGGCAAGAGCTGGACTACCGACTTGACGCGTGTCGTGTCACAGGCGGTGTGCATATTGAACATTTGTGAAGCTTTGTGAAATCGGTTATAAAATCAACATCCCTCTGAATTTCTTGTTTGAATTTTGATAAGTAAATCTTGTATTGTTCACCATGAAACCTATTTAATTTCGTTTGCCCAGGACATGTAGTTCCTCAGATATTCAATCTGAAATGATGTCATTTTTTTTGGGACACCCTGTACTAAAAATACAGAAGTTCCTTTTGTTATTTTCTTTTCTTAGTGCCGTCTACGTTCTCTCCCAGGTTGGTTCAGCCCACTGACACGCCAGTTTTCTTGTCGATCAGTGTCTGTTTACCTTTGGGATTGTTTTTTTTTCTTTTTGGTGTCTTCTGGGGGTATAGGTAGATAACATAAACCCAAAGTCAAACCTGTCCACTGCAGACCACTGTAGTCGTGCGTCATTCTGTAGTCCTTGTTATGCCCATATTAGGAACTCTGGGTCTAAGCTCCATTTCTCTACGGCCAGAATGAATAGGGTTTTCGTACAATCGCCTCTATCGCACCCTGTGTTAAATAAAGATCTTCAAAACCCGATACGTTTTTTCCTGTGAACATTTTTCTATCGAATACCACTGGATCCTCTGAATTACGAGGACCCTGAGTGCCTAATATGGACATAAGAACATGGTGCCGACTACAAAATGACGACACGACTACAGTGGTCTATAGGAAAAGATCTGAGGGACATTCCCATTGACAGTCCTCGTCTTTGAGCTTAAGTTATTTGGCTAACTGAGAAATCCTGCTTTGTGGAATACCCCCCTGGTTTTGTGACCGTGTTTATAAATAACCTCATGATTATAGCAACCGGTTACGTCACTGGTTCGCCATTTCCATTTACTCACTCCACACGTTACTGTCCCCATACTCAACTCTAGACTGTAGCCTTTTGTGTTGACGTAACACCAGGTTAAGTAGATGTTCTAAAAATGAGAGACCACCAGCAGATGCTTCGTTTTAACTGGTGCAGAGGGGTCGGGGCTAGTGACAGCAGATACACTGATGGTAAAAGTCATTTTTAATTTTTTCAAGACAAAAATTTGAGCTGACTGGTTTCTCAGAGCAAAATATCAGAGATATTATTTGTAGTAAAATGGTTATTATGGTCATTTTCTGAAAAGACCTAGCCCAATCATTTTATAAGTCCAGTGGGGTTGAGGTCAGGGCTCTGTCCAGGCCGCTGGAGTTCTTCCACACCAGAGTTCTCAAAATGTCTTTATGGATCTTGCTTTGCACAAAGGCACAGTCATGCTGGGAAAGGATATTGGTTCTTCCTCAAACTGCTGCCACAAAGTTGAAAGCATATAATTGTCTAAAATGTCTTTGTATTCTGTAACATTGACATTACCCATCACTTGTAATGAGGGTCTGAGCCCAAACCCTGAAAACAAGGTCAGACCATCATCCCTCCTCCTCCAAACTTTACTGTTGGAACTATGCCTTCCATTAGGTAGTGTTCTCCAGGCATCCACCAAATCCAGATTCATCCAGTGACTTCATGCAAAGGATGAAGAGAGTAAACCTCCCTGCTTCCATCCTCACTACATTCTCACGCTTTAAAAAGATGGTTCTTCAAGGTTCTATGGTAAAGAAAATGGTTCTATATAGAACCATGAACACTCAAGGAACCCTTTACATGATTAAAGGGTTTGGTGCATCATTAAATTGTTCTTCAGATTGATGGAGAATATGCTGTAGATGGTTCTATATAGCACCAAAAAGTGTTTTTCTATTATTACAATGTCAAGCCTGTAACAACAGAAGAACGCTTTTTGGTGCTATATAGAACCATTTACAGCATATTCTCCATCAATCTGAAGAATAATTTAATGATGCAAAGAATACTTTAATCTTGCAAATGGTTCTTTAAGTGCTCATAGTTCTATATAGAACCATTTTTTTCATTAAAGAACTGTTAAAGAACCATCATTTTTAAGAGTAAGACAGCATCCTGACCATCTGTCTCACTGTATGGTATAGGAAATGCATCATTACGGAACGCAGGTCCTTATAATGGACCTTATAAAGGTCAGCTGAGAAGATCATCGATGTGTCTTTACCCACCATCAACACCTCCTAGAACATGCGCTGCATCCCCAAGGCCACCAACATTGTGGATGACCCCTCTTGACCCTCTCACGGACTCTTCACCCTCTGACAGAATGTACCAGAGCTCCTATTCCACCACCCCCAGACTCCTCAACAGCTTCTTCCCTGAGGCGGTCAGATTACTGAACACAATGATGCTCTCTAACATCCACCTGGACTTATCTGACCTTTTCCAACATCCACCATAGTCTTATCACAAACCCCTTTACCATCACTGAATGCCTACACTTTAAATTCTTTGACTATTTGAAAGCTGCCATGAGACCTCAGTTTTTCTGTAGCATTTAAAGTTGACTATATACACACATATGCACTCTATGTAGTCCAGTGTGATGTGCTGCACCACGGGACTTTAAGAACAACATTCTGTTCCAATGTATACACGTTATATTGAGTAAACATTTTGCAAAGAATATAAGTTATATAGAGGAATTTTCACTGCTCCAAAGTCTAGTGGTGACGTGCTTTACACCATTCCAGCTGCTGCTTGGCATTGCGCATAGGGATCTTTGGTTTATATGCAGCTGCTCAGCCATGGAAACCCATTTCATGAAGCTCCCCCCACACAGTTCTTGTGCTGATGTTGTTTCCAGAGGCAGTTTGGAACTCTGTAGTGAGTGAAGCAACAGAGAACAGGTGATTTTTTAAGCACTATCCACTTCAGCATTTGATTTGATTTGACTTAAAATAGTTCAAATAGCAATACTTTTCATAGAATTAAATCATAGCCTTCTTTCTTTCACTCCAGTTTATTTCTTATGAAATAATCAACAAAGCTAATGCATTTAAAAGAATGTTTGCAGGAAAGCCTGTTTTTCACAACTTTACAAGCTTTAGCTTTTTGTCCAAACTAATCACACTTAGCTAAGTAGCTACTGTTCTTTCAGCATGTTATTGTTTTATCATTGAAGAACAACCATGTTAGCTTTGTTGTTATTTTTGGCTAATTTAGCTGATGTAAGCTAATGTGTCTGCTGCAAGTGTCTGTTTTCTAATTTACCAAATGTTGACGGTAAGCTAATGTTGAAGTAGCTGAGCCAATAAATCCTTTAAAACGTTGGTGCATTTTTTGAGCTGCACTTGAGCTTTAGGTCATGAACTTATGGGCAGACATTCTCCTTCAGGATTTTCTGATTGATGGAGCCATGAATTCTGCTCTCTATTATGATAACTCATCCAGGTCCTGCAGAAGCAAAGCAGCCCCAGACCATCACACTACCACCACCATGTTTGACTGTTGGTATGATGTTTTTATGGTGGAATGCTTTGTTAGCTCTACGCCAGATGTGGATCCCGGCCACTCCTTAGAACTTTCACTACTGTTCCAAGTTTTCTCCATTTATGGCTCTCACTATGGTTTGCTGGAGTCCTGGAGCTTTAGCCTTATAACCATTTCTAGACTGGTAGATTTCAGTGACTTTGTTTGCCATCTGGATCTGAATCTCTTTAGAACGTGGCATCATGTACTGCTATTTGAAACATTCTAGCCTGCTACACATTGCCATACAAGTTCTATTTAAATGATGTTTAGATTCAACAGGTCTGGCTGTAATCATGCCTGGGTGTGGCTGGTGAAATTAAATCCAGTAGTCAATTGAATTTGGTTAACTGGTTGATTTAATAGCTAAGGGGGCAATTACTTTTTCGCATAGGGCCAGGTAAGGCTGAGCAACATTTTTCCTTCAAATCATGAGATCATCATTTAAAAAGAGCATTTTGTGTTTACTTGGTTTATCTTGGTTTGTCTAATATTAAAAGTAGTCTGATGATCTGAAACATTCAATTGTGACAAATATGCAGAAATAGAAGAAAATGAGGAGGGGCAAATACTTTTTCACAGCACTGTACTTCTGTCTAAATATGCTTCAGTATGTTATGAAATACATTTGTGTACAAGTGTATTTCATCACGGCATAATAAAGTATAATGCAAAAAGTGTTACTTCAAAAATATACTTTTTGAAAAGTATATTTTGAGTGTTTTTTTCCATAAAAAAACATGAATTAAAAATGTATTTTTGGCCTTCTCTGTCTGTGTCATGTATACTATTGATGTACTTAATTTTTTTTTCTGCAAGGGTTAATGTCCATTTTAACAAATATGTAATAAATGAAGGGTGGCAACTTTTGTACAGTTAATGTCCGGTCTGAACTAAGTTTTAGACTCCTGACTGTCGTTGTTGTTCTGAACAAAATGAATATTGTGCCCTAAATCTGAATGCAAACCAAACTGCAATTCATCCATCCATCCATCCATCATCTAAACTGCTTATCCTTCTGGGTCGTGGTGGGGTGCTGGAGCCTACCCCAGCCGTCATTGGGCGAAAGGCAAACTGCAATTCACGTTATCAAAATTCACGTATTATCCAGATGTCAAAAATGTGGGTTGTTTTACTGTAGGCTCATGTTTGTTCTTGTTATATAATCAGCCCCATTGCAATAATCTTGCTCATAATTGACATGCCTTGATTTCTTTCTCACGGTGCCACCCATGTTTTTCTTACACTGTTATCTTCTCTTTATCTTTCTCTAGAGTCCCGACAAGTATACTCGATCATTCACACTTTTACTACACAAAGAAGCTATTATTTTTCTCGCTGATAATGATGAGTATAAAGGCAAGAGTTTAGGCCGTCTGCATTCAGTTCAAGCCTTCGAGTGTTTGATACTAAGAGCCACTGCAAACATGGTAAGACTGCAGAGTTTTCTTAAGTATTTTGTCATGTGCCTGTTTTGTTTTATAGTAGAATGCTTAGCTTGATTAATGTACTGTTTTAAACTATAGTAATTTTATGTGTAAAGCCTGATTACAGAATAAAAGTCCAGTAGGTTTTAGCTGAACTGTAGTGTCATATATGCTTGCAGAAGTGTTTAGTCCTGGTTTTGGTCCTGGCTTTAGTCTCTCCCTCTGATCAGAGGGGAATTTCCAGACTGTGAAACTACATTTCTCAACCCAGGTAAAGAAAATAAAATAAAAAATAATAATTTTCAGTTTTTTAATGTTTGTTTGATTATTATGATTGTATTATGTTCAATGTTGTACTGTAAAATAATAAACATTCAAAATGCATTGAATCAAATCGTTGTGAGTCTGGAGGTTTAATTCTAGTACCATGTTAAAAAACTGTGGTACCATTTGCAATAAAGATGACTGCTGTTAATAATATTGGTAAAACACCTGCTGGTGAGTCCAGACTTTTACTACCCACTTATGACCTAAACTTATGTAACTTATCCAGTCAGCACTGTTTCTATGTAGTCACATAAGCCCTGCCTTATGATGTAATAAGTCAGAGATTTTAAAGGGATTTTCCCAGATAATTTTGCTGTCCATGTAAAAAAAAACTCTCTTTCTAGGTCAAACAAACTGTATTGATGAAACTGATGGCTCAGAGCATGAAATGGATTCCACCTGGACGAACACACAGTGTTACAAATGTCATTGTTCCTCTACTGGCATGACATGCTGTGACACGTAAGAACAGAACTTCTCCTTTTTCCCCTCAGTAATGCAGAATCATGCGGCATCTGTTTGTAGTATCTCTATGCTGCAACTTGAATAATCTTCAGTAGAGAAAATAAGAAGTATAAATATTTAAAAACTGCAAATCTTCAGCACAGCTAGTGTTCCTTTGTTTATTCAATGTCAATTTCATTTCTCTATTGAATTTTTGGTATATTTTTGAATATGCATCTGTTCTGAGTGCTTAGATCTACAAAATGACATTAAATGCATATTTGCTTTCAGCATTGTTCCACCAAGTAACCCAAATCCTACAACCTGCACTGTGGTGTACGATTATCAGACCTGCCAAGCCAACCTTGTGAGCAGAGATGACCTGTCATTACTGTGCTAACTGAAAAGTGGGACTCCATCACAGCTGTTGAAGTTCTTCGGAGATGCTGTATATTCTTCATAGTGCTTGCGGCATGTCTATTTCAAAGGGAAAAACACAACTGTACTCATACCCCGTAAAAGCAATGAAAAGGGCAGTTCGATCCATTCTAGGCCATGTGCTGGAAAACAAACAGCCTAGTAATATAAGCTTTCAAAAGTTTTATCACTTTTTAATATTGGAATAAGTAATTCAGCATAAATTAAATTGTGAATCCTGTGTGTAACTAAACCTAATTCTAATTAAAGTCTAATAAAAATACCAATTAAGCTTGACTCAACTATTTCTCTCTGTTTTATACACCTTAGATTCAGTGCACCATGGATGCACACCATAGATTCACATTCAGTATTTCATGAAAAGCTGCTATTAACCTATAGAGTGAGGGGCATCACAGATTCGCTGCACCTTCTGGTCAGAAACTTGCCAAGCTAACTTTGTTCTAACTTTGTTTAATATGGTTCAGAAATTCATACTTTTGCAGCCTGTAAATCGCTTCATGTTAAAGATGAACTCCAATGTAAAATTTCTTCTATGACTTTGTTAGATAAGAACAGAAGTGTAAGAGAGCATAATTGGCCTCACTTTCTGGGTGGGTAGGATGGCCCACAGTCTTACCTCACCACTCCCCGCGATGCTAGTCAGCGCAGGCGTCTGTTAGCTGACATAGCAGTTTCTGGCAGTTGACGCTTTCCTTGTTGCAGTAGTGGCAGTTTGAAAAGTTGAGGTGGCGCTCCACAGGTCTCGGAGGAAGCCTTCGCGATGGTGGTATTGTGTAGTCGTCACGAGTCCTAACTAATGGGGGATTATGCTTATTATTTAGCCCAAAAAAAGCAAAGGTGAAGCCTTGTCATCAAAGAAGCGAAAACATAAAAGGCAAAACGAACTCAGGACAGGCGAAAAACTGACAGCCACCATAGATTCTACTACACACTTGGAAAAGGAGGGGTGAGGGAGGAATATTCAGTTGGTTGCAATCTGCAACCTCACCACTAACTCACTAAACTTTATACACTGCATCTTTAAGGGTCTAAATATTAAATTCATGCAGTTATTAGTAAATTTGTTTGCAATGTCTGCATTTGATCATTTCTGCTGTAAATGGTCAATTGCAGATTTTGTTCCTCATTGTGTTTTGTGCATGCTGGAATCCTTGCAACCAAATGAAGTTGAACGTCATTTCTGTAGGCTCATTGAAATGATGACTAAACTATATTCTGACCTCACTAGACAAGGCCAGAGGGTGGCTAATAGGCTAACAGGCTGCTTCAGTAATGATCAGAAACAGGCTTCAAATTCAGATCTTTCCTGGACGGTAAAACTGCAAAAAGAATGTTACTTGTATGCTTGTTACGAACTTCACATATCTAGAAGTGGCTGCAACTGTTGCTTTATCTTTATCTTTACATGCAGTAGCAATTTCTCCAGGTTTTAGAACACATCCACTTCATAAAATCATGAATATTAAATATTATATTATGTTGCACTGTACATAATCCGTACCCCACACCTGTTGACAGTATAGTATGATGTTATGCATCATTTGAGTATTTGCCACTGGAATGCATCTTTGGCTAAAGCTTATACTGTGCATGTTAGCCTATAAGCTACTGCTACTGTAGCCTACTATGGTGTTTTGAGAGGAAAGATGTTCCGTTTGAGCCCTGGTTAAAAAAATAGCACAGATCAGTGTGCATTTCTTGCTAGTCTAAGCTGGTTTGTGCTGGTCAGCTAGTCACCCATCATGGTCATGCTGGTTGACCAGCATACCAGCATCTAAAACACAACATATGCCAGTTTTGCTGGTGACCAGCCATGCTGGTGCATGCTGTTCTAGTAGGGTGTCAGGCAATGTATATGGACTGATATGGACTATTTGATAAAAGAAAACATGGACCAAGAGATACGTATGTTTTTCTTTCATGCACTGCAAACTGTTTTTTTCTGACATTTAAATCAGCCAACTTGATGGCCATTGTTATAGATGCATCTTTGTCAATAAGTTCAAGTCTATCCTAAGGTGAATTTTATCGTGTAACTGTACAGACTGAAATATTTGTTCGGAAATGTATTTTACTGCAGATAACAGCCAGTAATTACCTTTATATGAGGTTACATAACGTAATCATGAGTCACTGAAAGCAGGGCACGCACAGGATCTACTGACTTTTGTCTTTCACACACAAATGAAGAATTCATAAAATAATCTTAGAAATGATTTACGATGACATAATATATAAGTGCTTCTGCGTGAATTTGTTAGCATTCATAAGAAACCTGCTATTAGAGAAGAAACAGGAGAGCAAATGCAGCACAAATGTGCCTGATTGTATTTCATACTGCAGTATAAAACAATGTTAGTACATTTTTCCTGTCATGTTAAAAAAATATGTGTATGCTTGTATTTCACGTTTGAAACAAAAGCATGATGCACGTAATCAAATATACAACAGACCATATTTTATCCTTCACAATTGTTTAGAAAGATTTGATTCTGTTTTACAAAATGTTTTACATAGTTAAATAACTACTTTTGGACGGTCTCCACTCATCACCAAACCCAAAATGCGCCAGTTCTGTTTGCCACCTTCTTCCTTAAGCCACTAGCTAGCACACTGTAAAAAATTGCTGTAAATTTACAGTATTTCTTTCAAAATACTGTAATTTTACTTGTTATTTTACATGATCATACTGTAAAGGATTGAGCATTTACAGCAGTGCATTGGTTCACAGTAACATACCAGACAACGCAATTTACAGTAATTTACCAGTAAAACACTGTAAATTTACAGTGAATAATTGTTCATTTAATATATATCATAAAATACTGTGAAACATTTACTGTGAATGTACAGTACTTTACTGGCAACTCTGCTGCCAGTAAATTACTGTCAATTTTACTGTTTTGTTTTTTTCTGTTTTTTTTCCAGTGCAGTGTTTCCCAATCCCAATCTTGTTTTCCTGCACTAACCCACCAATTTAAAACTCACTAAGCACTTGTTAAGTACCTACTAAGCTGGATGAGGTTGCTATAGTAAGGCAGCATTCATATGTGCAGAGCGGGGTAATACAAAAAGAATAGGAAACCACGTCCTAAAGTCCATTCCGTGTCTTATGCCATCCCGTTGTTCACCTGTAATGCAGTGAAAGATGAAGTCCGTGTTTTGTAGCATCCCGCCGTTCACGACAGAGAGATGCATTCCGGATTTTACAGTATAGATATCACAGAGATGTTAAATATCCGGTCCGAGTTTTGTAACACCCCGCCGTTTTCCTGCGGGGAATCCAGTTCGGCGTCTCTTGTAGCGTTATGAAAGATCCAGTCCGTGTTTTGTTTGTTCCCGCAGAGGCGCGGTAGTGGCAAAACAAAAGGCGGCGGCCATGATCATACAGCGAGATCATCGGGACGTTCAGCTTTGACCCTTTTTACATTCACTTTCTTCAGTTTTCCTTTACCTTCGACACAATTTAATCACCATGTTCAGATTACAATGACGTGAACTTACGCAGTTTTATTACACTGTCCTGAGAAAGTAAGTAACCAAAGTGAAAAGTAAGTACGTTACGCGAGCTAACCTGCTAAGTTAGCTTGCGTGCTAGCACACGCATATAGGGGAGATGTAGCTTAGGCAGCCAGATAACCTAGCTCAATAAAACAGTTCATAACAGCTGTTTTAACCTTTTCGGAGTCCTGGTTATGTGCGGGATGTTTGACATACTCTGCAAACAGTTGACGTTTCAATGTCTGAGCTTTGAAGCCAGCCAGCTAACCTAGTAAAGAGACTGACAGTGGCGCCAGGCCAGATAGCAGCTCTACAAGGGGCTGGATTACTAAAAGCGTATCTTATGCAAGACGTTAACTATAAGTGTAACGTTAGTTTACGAGGTCTGAACTGGATAAATTACTGAGCTAAGTTCTTTGGATAAGGTTTGCTGTGTAAGTCGGTTCTGGACGTCAAGGCTGTTGTATTCATTGCGCATATAATCTTAGCTGAGCAGATGCTCGTATGACAGACGTTAATAGGCAGTAGGTTATCTAGATTAGGAGTTTATACTTCACTTGAATCCAGGAAATCAAGGATTACCTGCTTAGATGTGTTGGGAACTGAAATACAGTAAAATGTTGAATGGTTGGAAACGCTCATCTTCAATAACTGAGCTCTTTGTTATGTATATCTCCTTGTGTTTTTACTCATTGTCTGTTTTGTCAGCTCCACTTACCATAGTGATGTTCTGCAATTACAGACTGTAGTCTATCTGTTTTTCTGTGTCCCACTTTTATCCCGTTTGTTAATGGTCAGGACCCCCACACGACCACTACAGAGCAGGTATTTGGGTTATGGATTATTCTCAGCACTGCAGTGACATTGATGTGGTGGTGGTGGTGTTGTGTTAGTGTGTGTTGTGCTGGTACGAGTGGATCAGATACAGCAGTACTGTGTGCACTCACTATTAGACACACCTACCTCGTCGGTCCACCTTGTAAACTCCAGCAGCACTGTTGTGGCTCATCCACTCGTACCAGCACAACACACACTAACATACCACCACCAGGTCACCGTCACTGCAGTGCTGAAAATGATCCACCACCCAGATAGTACCTGCTCTGTGAGGGTCCATGGGGGTTCTGACCACTGAAGAAAAGGGTGAAAGGGTGCTAACAAAGTATACAGAGCAAACCCTTTCTCTCTCCCCAGACTGACCGTTCCTATGTTTGTGCTGCATGCACTCCATCCTCCTGGGAACTGCGAGGCTCCCACGAGGAGCTAGAGAACTATGTATCGCGGCAGCGGAGAGAGGGACTTCCAGACGTCGGCCCGTAGGATGGGAACGTCGCTGCTTTTCCAGTTGTCTGTACATGAGAGAGAGCTTGATCTGGTCTTCCTGGACCACAGCTATGCCAAGCCATGGAACGCTCACCCAGATGCCAGCAGCGCCCGGCCCACCCGAATGCTGTTTGTCACCCCACGGCGGCAGCCCGATTCCTCTGCGTGAGTGATGTTTAGTGCTTATGTGATGTTTAAACATATTTAAAGGCCCGTACGGGTTAGTTAGAGGTTCAGAGGATCTGTAAATCGTGGAAGAAAAATGGGTTATAGAGTCCTTTAAGACTTCTGATCCAGATTTAGCAATAGCTGTTTGATGGTACTGTCTAAAACCCATGTGTCAAGGCCCGCAAAAGTATTCTAACTTTATATTAATATTAGCCCATTTCACAATGCGCTGCGCAACAGTCCCCAGCATGCACTGCAACGTAATATGTGCTCCAACTCTCCTACCCCAACAACAGTTTATGGGACAGCAGTTACACATCAGTTGTACACAATTCTATGCAGCTCCACACCAATCATATCACCAAACATTAGCTGCATTTCAGCTGCATTTCAACCAAAATAAACACCTAACGTCAGCTCAGCAGCCCAGAAATTGAGCTCAGGTATTAATGAACTTGCAGCAGGAAAAGATGCCAGGTGTCTAGTTCAAGCAGAGAGGTGGGATTAAAAGACTAAGCTCCTGGGGAAATTTAAAATTTGAATATTTCCAGTATTCATGTAATATTTCAGGGTCTACTACAAGTGCCTATATTTTACTACTGAAGTTTTTCCGTTTTTTGAATGAACAATGGCCAGTTCGGGTTATAGCACAACATTAATTAAAAATGAACCAAAAACATTTTCTCTAGCACACGGGTTAGTTGAGATTTTTTACAATGGCCCCTTTAGTGGTTGACTTTGACTCTTTGACATTTCCCAGAGGTTTAAATTGCTGGGGTCAAATTGGCCCTAAGGATAAAAGACGTTAGTAAATTTGAGGATAGCAGAAGCATTAAAAGGGCAAGTATGAACACACCATGTCTTGACTTAATCACGATCCAGTCACCACAGTCACACTGATAGGATGTTAATGCCAATTGTAAACGGGGCCATCAAACTTTAAGTACTGACGAAACCCATGAAATGCTCAGGAAAGCTTATCATTATGTAATTTGTGATTACAATATCATATGTTGTGTAAGCCTACCTACTAAAAATCTTGATCAGGGCTTATTCCAGCGAGAGCAGCACAAGGTCCTGATAGGCCCATTGGTAGGCATAAGCTTATGTGTGTGTGATTGCTTTGTCCAGGGACCTGGACTTGTCCATTGATGTGGAGACGGTCACACCGACACCAATGCCTCTCTATGACAACCACAAGGCGCGTAGTGTTATGAACGAGTGCGAACGTCACGTTCTGTTTGCCCGAACTGTTGCTGATGGACCTCCACCTCCAGACGACTGGGAAGAACACATTAACAAGTAAGAAAGAAATGGACGTAAGGAAGAATTCTTGTCTTTTTCCCCATTCACTAATATTTTATAGTGCTTTTAGATCCACTAAAGTATGATGTTGTTTTCTCAGAGTAGTACTGTTATGCCAGAAGACAGAATAAACATGTTGATGCACTGTGTTGATATCGCTTATCTTAATCTGTGTCTTTCTAGGACTGGGTGGAGCATGGCTCAAAATAAGCTGTTCAATAAGGTCCTGAAGGCTCTGCAGGCTGAGAGACTGGCTCGGCTGGCCAATGAATGCGTGAGTTCCCCATGAGCCTCAATAGAAGATCTCTTAAACCTAACCATAAACCGAACATTAGCTGTAGTGTAGCTGTTTTGACAGGATAGATGGTTACTAGAGCAAAGCGTAGATTAAGCTTTGTCTGTATATCTCCTTGTTGATCTCTTGTGATGTTGTTCACAACATTTATATACTGAAAAATGTCTCACTTCCCTCCTATTAGTACATTAAAGTATTTTCTGTATATGAAATGTTCTGTCTCACCATATTTATGGTCATGCTGGGCTATAGAATACATGCCTATGGGTGAATTTAAATGTGCCTGACCTCATTTTTTCCTCCTTTCAGGCTGTTAATGAGCCTGTCCTGCGTAGGATTGCAGTAGATAAATGTGCCCGTAAGGTTCGGCACGCGCTGGCTAGTGTGAACTGGGACACCAAGTTGACCCAGTGGCTCCACATTACCCTCGTGGAATCTCTGAGCCTGGCGATGCTGGCAGCTTACTTGGATGTCCTGCAAACACTCAAAAGCAAGGTGAACCACTTCAGCCCCACCTCTTATAACTACTCAGTTCTGATTCTTTCTGTGTCTGAACTCTTTGTCATTTGCCCCCCCTTTATTTTTCGCTTTTTGCTTAACATCTCATTCAGTTGTTTTTGCTTATGTTTACTGTGTTGCTTGCCTTTCTTTATCTGTCCTTTGTTATATTATGTGTGCTGCATATATGATCATTATTACCAGTAGGGGCTTGATTGACTGCTTTCAGAGATGCCATGCTTTTCTCCCTCTCTGTGTTCTATTAGGTGCCGTCTCTGATTGATCGGATGCTGCAGTCTTCATCGGCTAAAACTGGGGCAGTGGGGTCCGAGGCACTGTCCCTGTTGCTGAAGCGACCTTGGGACCCTGCTGTGGGCGTGCTGTCCCAGAACAAACCTGTATGTTCAAGTTGCTTTTTTTTTTTTTTTAAGTCACTGGTTTGGTTTTTAGACAGGAAATGGATGAAAGACTGTAGCCACATGTTAACTGGTCAAAACATGTGACATGTTAATTGATGTTGGCTGATTTTCATTGTTAGCGCAATTTGTTCTTGTGGTTAAATTATTCCTATCTCAAAAACCATTTGACTATTTTTATTTTTACTTTTACAGGTGGTAACAGTCTAGTCCATTAGTGGCTTTCATTGGGTTTTTGTCATTTGTAGATAATTTTCAGGAAGTACTTTTGAAGTCTGACTGTATGAGGTTTTACAGTGTGATTACCTGTTGATCTCTCTCCTTGTTTTGTGGAATATTTAGAGTAAACTTCCTGGTTCACCTCTAATCCTGCTTTGTCCATCCTCACCAACGATCCCCACCTTCTCTGCTTCACGACGAATGAGATTCTGGCAGTCACAGCTCTCCTGTTTGGGAAAGGCAAGTCATTACCAAACAAACTGTGCATCTCTTTGTTGCACTTAAATATGATTAGGTTTGTCCTTTCATGTTTGTCATGTTGCTGGCTCCCCGTGATTGACAGCCACTTGATGACAGCTCTTCTCTCCCATTTCAACCAAAATTGGTCATTTTATTCCTTTATAAGTATGTGCACTGTATCATTATGCTGAATCTGGTATGTATTTGAAGGAAATCAGTCCTTCATTAAATAACTTAACCCTGGCCCTCTGTTGTTTCAGGTCATCCCTATAACCACTCATGTGGGCAGTGGATCTAACTTAGGCATCACTCAGTGTCTGGAGCACATGGTCGGCACAGTCCGAGGGAAGGTTATGGAGGTGAGACCTCACTCATTTACAAGGATAAATGGTCTTCTTTATATGAGTGGGCTTCACATATATAGTTGTCAGTGTAACCAAACTTTTTCCCCAAGTAATTTGGGCCTTTTTTTTGAATTGTCAAAAAATGGAAAACTACAATAATGGAAAAGGTTGCGAGATTTTATTCTTATAGTAACGATATGTATGAGAAAATATAAATGATATCTGTTCTGATTGGTTGTCCTGTATTGTGCTTGATTGAAAAAGCAGGCTGAAACTCTCCAATCACATAACTTCATTGTGATTGTTTTATACCCAACTGCTGTAGGGTGAATGAATATATATATATATATAATATATATATATATATATATATTATATATATATATATATATGTATGTGCGTATATATATATATATATATATATATATATATATATATATATATATATATGTATATGTGCGTATATATATATATATATATATGATATATATATGTATATGTATGTGCTGGTTTTCGTGACCTCACAAAAACACGGAATTTAAAAGGCTCTACATATGGACTGTATAGGTTGAGGAGCAAACAGTATGTTTCAAAACTGTGACACTGTTTCCTGTTTAAAAGGGAAAATTCAGGTGTTTAATATATTATTTCATATTTGAAGTTTCCATTTATTAACCGTCACATGCTCAGTGTCGGATAATTCCACTGGTGATTAATTGGCTTTGTTACTGTTTCCAGGTTCACAGTCACTTCCCCCACAAACCCATCATCCTGGTGGGCTGGAACGTTGGTGCACTAATCGCCTGTCATGTAAGTCTCGTAATTAATGATTTGGGCAACTCTTCATTCCTTCGGCTGTAAATTATTATTTATTATTGTTTTCTCTTTGCGCAGGTGTCCCTTATGGAATATGTGACTGCTGTTGTATGTCTGGGGTTCCCTCTACAAACGGTCAATGGACCCAGAGGGGTAAGACAGAGTAGACTGTGAGAAGATTCAGGTCAAGTGTGCTAATCTTGGATCAGGGATTTTACACTTGTTTGCACAGGGATTAAGCCTAGTCCTGGACTGAGCATTTCTGAATGGAGATTCTCCACTGAAAAGGAAATGTAGACCAGGACTAGGCGTAATCCCTGTCTAGGAAGCCGACTCGTAGACAGTCTGTGCTGATGTATCAGAGGGCTTAGCAATGTATGTCCAGCCCTTAAAGGACTCATGCATCTGAAAATATTATCTGATGTTAAGTTGTGCATTAAGATGAATGGTATTTTCATATGCAAATAGGTTTTACATTGTGATAAATAAATAACGCGTACCCTGAAAATGTAACGTGTCTTTTGGGTGCAGCCAGCATAAAAGGTTATTCATATCTCATTTATTCATTTCATTTAGTTGTTTGTTTGTGGTGTAGGCATGTGATTTAACATACTACCAGATGATGTGCAGAGCAGTAACTCTTACATTGCTCAACTTTGTGCATGTTGCTGTATTTTTGTTTTTGCTCAGGATGTGGACGACCCCTTATTAGACATGAAGACCCCTGTATTGTTTGTAGTGGGCCAGAATGCACTGCAGTGTGGCATAGAGAACATGGAAGAGTTCAGGGAGAAGATCAGAGCGGACAATAGCATGGTGGTTGTTGGAGGGGCAGATGACAACCTCAGGTGGGTGGGTGGTTATACTTGTGGACGATAAGTAGTTACACACCAGTAGTTAATAGACGTTACATTTTATACCATAGCATACCAGGGCTCTCGCTGAGCTGCTACTAGGTTTTTTATGGACATTTTTCCTGGCGCAAGAGCCGCACTGTTACAGAGAAAAAGAGATGTCCCTGATGTTAAACATTCTGTCAGAAATAAATGGAAAACAGGAAAACTGATATTTAAAAAAAAAATGGGAGACTCATTCGTGGATAACCTTCATCGTGAAGTGGGTAATTCACGTTGCAAAGTCATGCTGTGCATGTAAATAGGACTATAAATGTACTAGTCTTTTATACAACCCTTGTAAATGTCTCAGGTTATTATGTCTGTATGAATTATGTTAATGTAAATGATGAAGTTCTTGCGTGTTTTTTTTTATTGTACAGTTTCTGCATCATAAATAATCATTTTACTGTAGATTTTTTAGGGAGCATTGCTTAAAAACTCATTCTGCAAGTGTGTTGGCATTTGGGACTTATGTAGTTTGTGCTTGACCAAGAGGTTTTTTTTTGGTTGTTTTTTTCATGTTCACTTAATGTGAAAGTGTTTGTGGTTTTTTTCTTTTTCTTTTTTTGCTTTTTTTTTGCTTTTTTGTTAACAGGTTAAAACAACTATTCTAGTGCTCAACAACATATTTTTGTATATGAAGCTTTCATTGATTCATTATTTTGTCCCCACTGCAGGATCAGCTCTTCTAAGATGAAGACTGAGGGCCTGACGCAGACGATGGTGGATCGCTGCATTCAGGTTCTTACTTTCAGTTGATGTCAAATATGAGGACTAGGGTTGTAAATCTCTGAGCTCACAATCTGTCAATTTGAACATAGTCCTTTAGAACATTATTCAGTGCATCATGAAGTCCAAAATTTCACCATGACGTGATTCTTTTGGTGCAGTTTGGAATTAAAAACAGTGATTTGTGTCCTTTAGGATGAGATTGTGGACTTCCTGACAGGAATCCTGACACGAGCAGAAAGCCCAAGTCACACGTCGGGAGAAACACGGGACCTTGACACAGAGAAGAAAAAGAAGCCTCGTCGCGAGTTGCCCTTTGATTCAGAGAGGTCACGACCCTCCTCACCTGCCATCAGGGTACCAATCTCTCCCTCAGGATCAGAGGTTAGATTATTTTGGATTGTGGAATAATCAAATTGTTACTATGACTACAGTGAAATGGCCCAAAGGATTTTGACCATGAGCGATTTCACTGAAAGAACTGGAGCTTTCTAAGGTGCTACCATGTTTTCTGTCATTATATAAGATATGCATGAGGGTTCCTTATTGGACATACCGTGCTTCTTTTTCTAAGCCAACGCTCTCAGAGTGCAGTTCGGATCAGTAAGCATTTAATATTGATTGGTTTAATCAGAGTAATGATAAATTCTGACTGATGTGTGACTTGTATTCCTATTCATCTGTTTTCTTGTTCAAAAAGTTAGTTTGGGACACATGGGACAGTTTTGTTAGACATTCTTTAAATAGAAAAAAAAACAACATCAGCATTTGGAAATAGTTGTTTTTGTTTTTTTTGTTTTTTTTAATAGAAAATAGTGGTTTAGATGGCAGAAATAGTTACGTTTGTGCATCAGCTTTAAAGGGTTAAGGTCAGGTTTAAATGCTGAAGGCAGTAAATAATGGAAGTTTTGGATATTTGTCTAGGACATGTCCAGTGTGTGTAGTAGTCCTACAGCCAGTCCCAAGCCCAAGACTACCGGTTTGTCTCCAGCCCAGAAGTCCAGCCTCATTACTGCCACCCAGCTGCTCAAGACTCACATGCAGCGCTCTGGAACTGTGCTAACACACAAACAAGCTCAAGGTGTGTACATACAAAGCACACACTCAAACTGTATGGAGGTGTGAAAACACACACACACATTATGACCTGTGAAAAGTTTGGGAACATCTGGCTTTTCAAAATCTTTATAAATGAACACTTTTTTCTGTAAAAAGCCAAGGGTTTTTAGCTCTTGCAATTTCTGTGAGAACTCTGCAGATATTAAAAAGATAAAAAAAAACACACACTTTTTATTCTCTTCATGTGATGTCAGCATTCATCAACACTTAAACGTTTCATGTGTTTAAACCACCTTTGGGCCAAAACGCTAAATCATTGCAAGCACTTTCTTAATTTACTTAATTTAAAAGCAACAGAGAAATTCAAATATTACCCTAAAAGGGTCAAAAGGTCGCAAGATATCCCCAAACTTTTGACAGATATAGTACACTCATGTTGTAGATTCACAGACTAAAGGTGTTTATCTTTGTTCTTCTCACACACAGATCCTTAGTTTTAGTTTCACTTTGTCTTTGAGTTGTTTATTTGTGATTAGTTGCAGCTTAACATCTAGTTAGCATTAAGGGGGGATTCCACCAATTTTTCAAAAATTTCTCCAGGTATATAGTTAGGATGTAAACATCCTGAATTGTTAGGATGTAAACAGAGTAATTTAGGTTGGTTTGATGCGAAACGCTTTGCTCTAGTTCTAACTGCTGATGTGAAAAAAGGTCAGAATTCTTCACAGTGGTGGAAGAAACCAAGCATCTGTTAGAAGACTCTAAAAGCTCCCTCACAGACAATTATTTCATGAAATGGTTATTAATACACTGCTTGATGCCTGTGACATTGGGTTTCAATAGTTTTGGCCTAAAATGTATTTTTAAAAACATATCTATGGAGAGGTACTGGCAGGATATTGTGAGGCAATGAAAAACGTTTTTATTTTTATCAAATTTACCTCTGGTTTACCATCATCAACATTACATATAAAATATTAGATAAAATGGCTAAAATGGCAAAAATTTGTGTTGTAGACATTGTGACCCCTGGTTCCTATCACCATTGTAAACAAATGAGAATAGAGCAAATTTCTCTATAATGCAGCCTTTCACTTCAAATCACTCTGTATGACTTTGTTTCCATCTCAATGATTGAAATATGTGGAAATTTTAAAAAATTAGTGGAATTGCCTTTTAACCATGTTGAACATGTTTCCCTCCTCTTTAGAGTTAAAGCCATCGTAGTGCATCCCAGCTCCCCCTTGTAGTTTGCATGTGTGTTTCCTTTCTTTCCTGTCCCCTTTCCTTTTCCCCCTTCACTCTGTCCGTCTCTTCCATCCGCTCCAGCTCAGTTCGCTGCCTTTATGAAACAGAACATGCTGGTGAGGAAGAGCATTCCTCCTGGCAGTCCATCCTGTCTGTTTGGTGAGTATGTCTTCTCTCTCCCTCTCTCTCTTTATATACCACTTGTCCTGCCTTTTTCCCTTCTTTCTTTCCCTTCTTTGCATCTCAGAAGGTGAAACATCTGTTTGTAGATTCTTTGAAGTCAACATGTTCTTCACCGTGGCTAATGAAAGAAAGATGTTGTTTCATTGGATCGCATTTGCTGTTGTTTAACAATAGCAATGGATCTGAAACACATTTCCCTACAAAGTCTACCCCCCCCAAACAAACTTGAACTTGCTTTTGTGAAACTTTGTCTTTGTTTTTAATTGTATTGTATTTTTAAAATGTGGATCTATTTCTGTTAGTAAGGTTTTCACCCTTTAGCTCACATCCATTTGGATTTTGTTCTGTATGCATTTTTTTTCGTACCCTATAGCCGCAATAGCCCAAGAGCTAACATTGATTGGCTAAAAATGGAGCTGTTTACTCTGCTTGTATTACGGTGGTGATTTCAGCAAGAATCCTAATGTACTCAAATGGACAAAAGAACATCACATACCTAAAAATAGTAGCAGCAGCATTTTGAAGCAAGAACACAGCTAACTATGCTCAGGGCTATGTGGCTATTTACAGGTTGGTATTGTGCCACCAAAACAAAAAAAAACAAACCAAATAAGTTGAGTTCACATACGCAGTCATCATATAATTGAAAACAGTGCACAATTTTCAATTAACCATTCAATAAATGTCAAAACGTCAGATGTTAAACTGCACTGCTATCTAAGAGAGAGGAGCTGGTTAGCAGTAGTTTAGCTAGCATCCACTACTGAACAGGTTCGATTCAGTCTACAAAAAGCTACACTGATGCAAGTTCAGATGAAAATTACTCAAATCTGAGGTAACGAAGTAGAGTGGCTGGTGTTGAAGGGACAGAAAGCTGAAATTAAACCTGTTCTGTGGTGTTTGGATGTGTAGCTTCCTAGCTAGGCTAGTGCTAGTCAGCTCCTCTGGCTTAGTTCTCTTATCCAGTGGCCGACTCATCCAAACACCGCAGTAGAGCTTCACTTCTGTGTAAGTAGTGCTCTGTAGATGATAATGACTGGGGTTGGAGTGAAAGAAAGCTCAAATCAAACCTATTCTGTGTTTTAAACTGTAACATGCTGGGCTAGACTAACACTAGCAAAGCATTCACTAGCACGCTAAAGGTTCCACTCACTATAGAATTGGCTCAGTACCAGCTAACTAATGCTCATGTAACACCTGTTGAGAGGTTAAAGAGTGTGAGAGCACAAAATTGAGTGGCTGGCATCGGAGTGCTACCTGGAAGTGAATGTGTTCTGTAGTTATTAGCCTGTTAGCTGTTGCTGAGCCACTCTTGTGTATAGTTTTCTTGAGGATTTCCAGGTTCTGATTTAGCAGATGGAAAAAAAAACGTAACCAGTTTCACGAGTCCCTTAAAGAGTAGGAGCACTGCTAGTTTCAGATAACTCCATCTGTAATTTAGCCCTGAAAAATACTCGAAATTGGAAAGGACTGACTCCAAAAATGTTAGTTTAACAGATCGGAAGAGGTGTTAATATTAATGTTAATATACTGGGTTCATTTTATTATTACCAGCAATATTATTTAAGTTTTTAATGAAAATTGGTTTTAGGGCCTTACCACTCATCAATAGGTCAGGCAGGTGTGTGATGGTTTAGGCATGTATCCTGATGGTTGGTCAACTATAAGCTTTCATTAATTGTTAGCTACATTCGCCTCATAGCACCAGTGCCGAAATCTAAGCAGCAAATTTCAGACGTCTTGACTGATTGACTACTTTTGAAATCAGGGCAAAATTGTGTGAATTTAATTTTGACCAAAATTATACTTTTACAGTAGAAAAACAACACGGTGTTAGACGGTATGTTGGCAATCATCACAAAAGAGAGCCATTGACTTTTTGACAACGTTCTGTCATTTTTGATCTGAACATTTCTGAAAGCCAACCCTCAGGAATTTCACATTTATTGGCCAGAAAGCTCCCTCACTGTGTGTAGGCGTCTCTGACTCTCTCTTTACATATTCCGTGTGACAGTACCCGTGTCGGGCGAGCAGGCGGAGGGTTTGGATCGGGATGACCTGCGGCTCCATATGAAGAGGAGGCAGACGCCCAGCCCCACACCTAGCAAATCCTCCAAACGAGCCAAGATCAAAGTCACCATAGTCTCCCACGCTGACACCGCAGGGGCCACGGCCGCCTCTGCGGCTCAAGAAGGTAAATTAAAGGCCTTTCTGGCTTCATTAAACCACTGAGCTGCTATTGTAATGAAGCAGGGTTGAGCACAGCCATGCACACCTAATGAAAACGAATGGTGAACCGTGGGTTGCGGTACTGTGCCCTTGAATGTTTTGTCCTGGGTTTTTTCCCCCAACCTTAAACTGTCAAAAGTAATCTTGTTGAAGAATCCAAGAGGCCAGTTTATCTGCTGACATGAAGAAAAATGTAGAAAACAGCCACAGGATAAGGACCTGTTTTTGATGGACTCTTTTGATGTTTTTCTTTTCATTGCAGAAGTGAATAGTGTCCTGAACCTACAGTTGTATACAAAAGCTAACGGAAATTAATATAATAATATGTTCAATATTAAAGCACCCTTTACCAAACCTGAGTGTACTATACATTAGGAAAAAAATAAATAAAAAATTAAGAAAAAATACTAAGAATTGGGCAGAGAAGAATAACGTGCAGTAAAGAGGACGGTCTTAGATTGAGCTTCAAAGGAAGAGAGGGTAGAGCAGTCCTGTGGCAGGGAGTTGTAAAGTTTAGGAGTAGCAGCATTGAAAGACCTGCCGACAACTGATGAGACTCTTGCATGAGGGACTGCAATACGACCAGTGCCAGAAGATATGAGAGCGAGAGACGGACAGTAAGGGTGAAGGAGCTCAGTATAGTATGTAGGGGTGAGACCATGAAGGCCTCTGAAGGTTAACAGGAGCAGAATAGAAGTGACTAATTAAACATGAAACCGAGGTTTTTATTAACTTGAGCTGATCTCATACTAATAACATCAACATTGACAGTAAAATTGGAGAAGTTGGAAACCAAAGTTTAGGATCTACTAACAAGACATTCGTTTTGACTGCCTTGAGTTTCAGGAAATGTAGAGGATGCAGTGCTAATGTAAATCTGAATATCATCGGCATAACAGTGAAACCTAAAGGGGAATTCCACCATTTTTTCAGAAGTTTTATATAATTAAATGACTAAGATGTGGTTTGGTGTAAAGTGTCCATTTTAGAGAAACTTAATGAGTCTGAATTGTTCACAGTGGTGGTGATTGGAACCAGACGTCTGAAGAGTTTAATGCCTCTAAAAGCTCCCTCACCGAAAGTTATTACATGAAATGTTTATGAATATGCTGACTGATGCCTGAGACATAATTTTGCGATAGTTTAGTGATGACCTTTTGGCCTAAAACATCTTGTTAGTACATTTATTTTAATACATTTATGACGGAGGGGTTTAGGCAGGGCACCCTGGACAGGTCACTAGTCCATCAAAAGGCAGGCACACAGACATGCATTTTCACATATTTAGATGTAAGGGCAATTTAGTATTGACCAGTTAGGCCAATTTGTAATATATTGATTAGATTTAAGAATTGTATTTGTTGATATAATTTTTTTGCACTTTTGTTTTAATGCACGGAAAAGTAGGATTGTGACGCTTTTACTCAAGCAGATGTTGCACATCTCTTCGTTTAAACATATCAATGTGAGGGGGAAAAAACAAAAAAGGGGAGTGCTTTTAACATGCGCTCTAAATCTTATCTCTGTTTTGTTTTGGTCTTTAAAGTCGGAGCATCTGGAAAGCCCCTCACAGTGACCATGGGCCAGACTGTGTCAGGAGCTAAAGAACTTTCTGGACTTTTAACCGCTCAAAGGTTTGTGTGTAATTTATTTAGCTATGTGTTTTTTTCACAAACCTTTGACAACAAGCGTAAGAAAACATACGATGTGCAGATTTGCTCTACATTTCAGAGATGATTGGTATGGTTTGTGAAGTTGTTCAGAACAGAAGAGAGAAACTGATATGATGCATGTTTGATTTCACAACCTTTCAGCCTGAATATTTCAACACTCGTTTCCATCTCCACGATTCACAAACATAAATCTATGAAGGAAAAAATGCAGAGTGGATCTGTAGATCTATTTATGCAAGTTGTATTGTGGTGTTACAATGCTGATGTGCGCTTGGTGGTGTTCACACATGTTTATAGGTCTAGCGCTCTGACAGATGTGCCTGGAGGTCTAGGCTCTAGTGGAGGTTCCTTCCACAGCCTGCAGGGGAGTGTCATATCTGGCTCGTCCTCTCCAGTGCAGGTTCAGACACCTGCAGCTGCACAAGGTAACTCCCCAACCCAGTGCATCCTAGCCCTCTAGCCCTCATCCTGCAGTACCCCTTACTGCACAATTTTAATATTAGGAGGACTCGGACTGACTCAGACCTAAAAGGAAAGGGCCTTGTCATTGTGCTAAGTTGTTGGATCAGGTGTGTTAGAACAGGAATTGCACCAAAATATGCAAGCTAGACCCCTCCAGGGTGGTTCCATATTGTGGGTTCTGAATTTCAGTGTAGAATTGCAATTCAGGTGCACAGTTGAAATCAGCAAGGTCTGTATTTCTGGCACTTTCTGACTGTGCGTGTTTTGTCTCTATGCAGCTCCCTCTGCCAGTAGCCTGTTACAGGGCCTCAGCTTCAGCCTGCAAGAGATCAACACCAAATCCCCGGGTTTGCCCTCCAGTGCACAGGTACTGCCCCAAACCCAAAACCCTATAAATGTAAATTTCATTAAACAAAATAAAATTGAAAACTTAAGTCAGCCTCCACTTCTCTTTAATGGACATTTAAACAAACAGTGTCATGTACCACCTCGTCAGCAGCAGTTATGCTCGACCCGTCATGAATCTCTCTCTGAAGTACGCTTTTCGCTCCGGGTCTAAACCCTAAAGCTTCAAATTCTTGGAAACTGCAGCTGTTAGGTTTTATGGAGGTTTATTGTTGTATGCATAATGCCCTCTAGGGGGCAGTCAAGGAGCTTGTGAAATTTTTGATGTTTTTGAACTTAGAAGTGGTGTGTCAAGCTCGCTCTCACCCTTTGTCTCTCTCTCTCTCTCTCGATCTTAATTGTAAGCAGACTCTGTCAAACTAATTTCCAATGACAATATTATAGGAAAATGAAAAGTTACAGTTCTTCAGGCAACCCACAGATACAGTATTTCAGTTTTATGCACCAAAGATTACATTACCAAAAAGTGAAGGGGGTGTTTTTCATGAATGGTAAAGTGTCATCTCACTTATTTGGAATTCTTTCTTCAAAAGCTTTTGATGGGGGGAAAAAAGGTTCATATAAATATTGTATAAATAATTTAATATAATGTAAATGAATGTCAGCAATGTGGATGATCAGCTTCTTTTAAGTTTTGTTTTGAAACTGATGTAGAACATGTTGAATTTTGTGAACTTTCCTAACTGCCGGAAGAGCTTAGCTTGCCAGTTATCGGGGTCCATGCACTTTATGGAAAATTTACCTCTTGACCTTAGTATGGTAAGCAAAAATGTTTTAACAAAAGTTAAAACATACGGGGATAACAGTGCAAATGTCATACATGTGTACCATTGTTGAACGCAGCAGGTGCCCCGGTGTTTTAATGCACCTGAGTGAATTCATGTTAAAATCTCTAAGATGTTCTCCCAATGACGATGCCACGGACCCCTTCTCAACTTTTTCCTTGCTCGTGAGTTTTCCTGTCTGAACAAGCAGAAAGAGGAGAGAAAGAAAGAAACTATGCTGTTGCTTTAATCTCTGGTGATGACCCAGTTGATTAGACGATCCTTCAGTGTGGTCTGGCACACATCAGGGTGCTTTAGCTTTCACACTACAAATGTTATGTGGTCATATGTGTCTCTGACCACCTTAACACAGTGGCCTCCGTTCAGTCAGGGTGGTGTACAGCACTCGTTGCGTCACTCATTGCCTCCCTGCCTCACTTGCTCTTTCTTTCAGGCTCCAGGAGGGAAGTTGCAGCCTCATGGACAAGTGCTGACCTCACTCAGTGCAGCAGGGGGCACTCTAGTGCGTGCGGTCCCAGTCGTGTCCACCGGCTCTGGAGTGACCAAAACCACAGCCATCCACCAACTGCTCACCAACGGCGGCCTGGCTAAGCTGGCCAATAGCCTGCCGGGACTGGCTCACGTGTCCAATCAGAGCGCGGGTACGTCTTTGTCTTCGTCGATGCAGCGCTCCAGCAAACAGAGGCGTCCACGCTGAGTAGGAGTCAGGGGGTTTTACCGTGACAACATGGTCAAAGGTCAAATTCGGGCCGCCGCCACTGCATGTAGTACAAGTTAGCATAGCACCCGGAGCTAACCGTCTCAGAATGAGCTGAGACTGGAGATGACGACAGAGTGCATTGTGATAAAATCAGTGATGACAGTAAGATGTGTAAATCTGTGCTTGTACATATAATAAGGGAAGCGTTTGTCCCGTTTATTCTCATGCGGTGTGATTTTGTATTAATGTCAGTTAAAACAAAAGAGAACAATGCTGTTGTCCACTAATTTAAGTGGCCAGTGTAGGTTGTAAGGACTTCACGTTACTGACGAAGAGTAGCTCTTGTGTCGTCAACTCTGTTCATTCTTTCTGCAGTGTGTCCACTGTTCCCAGCTCATTATGTTCCTGTTTCTGTTGTTTTTATTTTTGTCCATTTACATTTTTATTTTTATTTTTCTGTGTGATGCACAAGTGCTGTTTGTTTTGGCATCTCCTTACAAATGCATTCATTAAATGACCAACAGCAAACGAGTGTCAGCGATGTCCATTTTATTTCTGTCATTGTCTCTTCTGGCCCTTTTTATTTGTGTATTTTCTGCTAAATGTCATTGCATTTCTGATGATATTATGTTTGTAATTATTACATTTACATCTATTTATAATTTAACGTGTCATTCGCTTCTCTTTGCAAACTTTTAAAACTGTCAAAGTCTTGTGAAGCTTTTTTTTTTGCCAATTTATGTTGCTCTGTTTTTCTGTTCGTTGTTTTATCATGTTGCCACATTGAAATCATAAGTGTGTGTGTTCTCCCATTAGACTGTCATTTATTTCAGCTCATTAATGCAGCAGCTCTTTAAAGGTAGGTATATAATCCAAACAATGACCCAAACACAATCCTGCTGCTAGTATGCAGCCCTAGTTGGTCTCCTAGTTTGGTGAATTGAAGTGTCATCTAAACAGGAGTCGATGTGAACTGCAAATTATGTATGAGGACATTTTCAAGTGAATCACTGTATTAGGTGGAGGTGGTGGGAGTCACTGGTGAAGTTTTATATTATTGGTTAATTTATTTTTAATATTATTTTAGAAATATAAGTCACTACATATTTGTTGGAAGATAATACCACTGGTTTTTCAAGATATCTGTATGATCAGATGGTTAAGATACACGTGGTCATTCATAGCTGTTTGGTGTGATTGTACAAAAATGTGCCGAGTCCAAATTGTTCACAGTGGTGAGAACAACCAGTCTAAACAGCTTAATGCCTCCGAAAGCTAACTTACTGAAAGTTACTACACTAAAATGGTTACGAGTTCACTGACTGATGTCTGAGACATTGATAGTTTTGAGAAAGTTTTGGCCTAAAATGTTTTCCTTGTTAAATTGATGTGTGGTGGAGAGGTGTGTGCAGGGTGTAAGAAAATGGTGCAAAAGAGTCCCTAAAGAAAACTCAGATTTACCACTCTGTTATTATTATTGATTATTATGTTTAAAAGCTCCATCTGTAGGTTCACTGGTGGTTTTGGATAGTAAACAAAACGGCTATATTTGCACTGTAGACATCATGACCCCTGGTTCCTGTCACCACCACTGTACAGAAATCTGAATCAGGAATTTCTTTCCAGCAAACCATTTCACATCAAACTGCTCTAAATGAATGTTTTGTTTTCAGCAATTGAGATATTTTGCCATTTTGAAAATGACCATACCCGTGCCATAAAGGTTTTTATTTCAAGCTAACTGTAAACACTCCAAGTCCCAAAGTTTCTGATTGTGCTGTTTAATTGGTGAGTTGAAACACTGTCATCTAGATTATTGTTTTCTGCTCATAGTTTCATGTTTGAACAGAAAAAAGTGAAACCGTGCAGGTGGACTGTAACACTGGCATTGGGAATTTGTCTAAATATTGCACCTCTATCTGTAAACATGCAGTTTAAGTTTTTTTTTTTTATTTTTATTTTAGCCACAGACTTTTGCTTTGGCTCTACTGATTCAGACATTCTCATTTGTGTGTTTGTGATCAACAGGACTCAAAGCCCCCACAACAATCACAGTCACCCTGAGAGGACAGCCAAATAGAGTTCCAGCTCTCGGCCACACTGGAGCCATACTGCCACCCCACAGCGCACCTGAAAACCAGGTGTGTTTACTAATTCGCCCCAGCTACCAGTAGAACTACAGTTTGCAGTGTTTAAAGTGAGGATTCAAACAAAATTCAGGTGTACATTTTCCCCCCGAGACCCCCAAATGTGGTCGAACATCCAAGACAAGTTTGTTGTCCTAAATTTTCTTCTTTCACTATATACTGAGCTACAGGGCTAATGTGGCTGGTAACCACATAAGCAGGTACTTGAGATTACTTAAAAAGGGCATTCTGGTTTTCCTAGTCTTTAAACCAGAAAATCTTAGTCTCAGGTGTATCGGGGGGTATAGTGATGGAGCAATGGTTCCATTTTATCTTGGGCAGAGTGTCCCTTAATAATCACTATTAGACTGTGATTTCTGACGCTGTATGTCAATGTTATCTAGAAAAGTGGGCAAAAGTGTGCAGCATAGCCAAAACCAGTGGTAGCAGGCACCTTAAATTGTAAACTATGTCTGTACTTGTCTCCATTTTTACAGATAACAGTATGTCAGTGTCAGCAACCACGTAAACAAGTAATTGAGATTACTTAAAGGGTCATTCCGGCCTAAAACTAGCATCTAATTTTTTATTTTGTGTGATATGCAGTATTCTGTTGTGCAGCACTGCATCATCAGTTTGACAGAATTCACAATTTTATATCCTTTTTGTATTTCATCAGTGTTCTACTACCATACCCAGCATGCATTTCACAAGTACATCATATGGCCATTGGCCATCCACCCACTGCCATAACGTAATCCTGACTGCTAGCGTAGCCACTGATGTAGAAGCTAATAATTACAAAACCTGATATTTGGCTTCCTGGCAGTAACGTTAGCTGCCTGGCTTCCTTCCCTTTTAACCAGCTAGAAAAAACATTTCAGACAGCTCATAAATATATGCACCGAGGTGCTACTAGTTTTTCAAATTCCCACCTTCAAGATACATCATCAGAAGGGGGGTTCCCTTGTCTTCACGAGGGAAACCTCTCTCTAGACCAGGGGTGTCAAACTCGACCAATAAAAGGGCCCTATTTAAAAAATCTTCTCAAATCTTTTAAGTAGTGTTCTGCTATAACCTGAACTGGCCATAGTTTATTCAAAATATGCAAAAACTTCAACAGTAAAATATACACACTTGTAGTAGCCATTGAAATATTACAGGGACACTAGAAATATTCAAAATTTAAATGTCCCCAAGAGCTCAGTCTTTTAAACCTACTTATCTGCTTGAACTAGACCCCTGGCATCCTTTCTTTGCTGCAAGTTCATTAAGACTTGGGCTCAATTTCTGAGCTGCTGAGCTGTCGTTAAGTGTTTATTTTGGTTGAACTGCAGCTGAAATGCATTTTGTTGATATGACTGGTGTGAAATTGCACAGAACTGTATAGAATTTAGGGTATAACCGCCGTCCCACAGACTGCTGTTGGGGTAGACGAGTCAAAGCACATTACGTTGCAGTGCATGCTGGGGACTGTAGTGCAGCACATTGTGAAACGGGCTAATATTAACAGAAAATTAAAATACTTTTGCGGGCCGGATGGGATTGTGTGGGCCTTGTGTTTGACACATGGGCTCTAGACTATTGTGGCACCACTGTAAAAGGCAGTGAGGCATGTTTACAGCAGATGCATTTGGCTGAAGTGCCCCTTTAAGTAATCACTATTACTGTGGTTTCTGAGACTGCATGACATGCTAGTTTATAGAAAAGTGGGCAAAAATATGCTGCATACACTCTTAAAAAAAGATGATTCTTCAAGGGTTGTTTAGTAAAGAAAATGAACACTCAAAGAACCCTTTTCCATGATTAGAAGGTACTGATGGAGCATGTGTTGTTTATGGTTCTATAGAAAGCCTTTTTGTTTCTATATAGCACCCAAAAGGGTGCTTCTATTGTTACAATGTCAAACTTGTAACAATAGAAGAACCTCTTTCAAAAAGGTTCTATAAAGAACCATCCATAGCACATTCATGCACATTCTTCATCAGTCTGAAGAACCTACCTACCTTTAATCATGCAAAGGGTTCTTTGAGTGGTCAAGGTTCTGTATAGAACCATTTTCTTCGCTAAAGAACCCTTGAAGAATAATCTTTTTAAAGAGTGTCGCTTAAAGACAGTAGCGGCCATCCTGAAGCCTTGTCTGTACTTTTTTCCCACGTTTGTGGATGACGGTGTTTCTCATGCTGCACTTATTCTCCTGGTCTCTGTGCGTGTGTAATATATAAATGTTTATATTGTAAATGAAACAGTAGTCCGAGTACAGTACGCAAGCCACGGGGATGTTCTCCCACTTCTTTTATTTTCCACATTTAAGGGCTTGCAAAATCTGTTTGATGTCGCCTGTCATTCGTTATTTTGCTCAAATCGGTTAGATCAGCCGTCATTGACGGCGATGTGCTTTTTTCCTCCCTCTTTCGAAGTTTCTGTTCCACCATTTATCACAATTATAGCCTTTTCATTTTCAGCTGTGAAATCAATTAGTTTCATCAGGCCAGTTGCCGTAGTAACAGCCTCTGTGACGACACAGGAATGAGAGTGTAATTATTTGCTTAATTATTCTGACGAGGATAATTACACGCCTGTCACTCTCACTCCTGGATCGTTAAGGGCACTGGACAGGAGTTCGGGTTATTTCAGTAAGTTTTGAGTTTAGAAAAGGCTGTAATTGTTTGATATCGAGCTTTTCTTTCGCCTGGACTTTTGGCCTCGCAGAGCTCAGTAGAACTGCTGGATTGTGTGAATGTGGTGATGGTGGAATTTAGGGAAGACTGAAAATGCCACGTTTTATGATGCTTTTATCGACAAGACCAAAAAGTTATAAGAATTGCAGTACAAATTACATGAAAACCAACAATTAAATAAAGAATTACTTAAATGTAATAGAAAACTTATAAATACAAATTAAAAATCGACACATTTGGTGCCCTGATATTCAGTATGATGGCGTTTATCAGCCAATATGAGTTGCAAGTATATACAGTACTGTGCAAAAGCCTTAAGCACCTGAACACATTGTTTAAAATCATTTAAGTGTGTTTGTGCCTTTTAAAAACAACATATATCATTAGAACGAATGCAAACATTAATACTAACTAGTTTTTAACAAGATTTCTCCTTGATGCCTCCAGCTATTGTATGGATTTGTTTAATTCCATCACCAGCACACTTGATTTAACATAACGAAGCGTTGATTATCTAAACCAAGTATTGGATGATAACTACAAATAATACAGGGCTGCCACGAGGAGAGGCTTGGAAATGGTTAAATGAGCCCCTTGCCGCTCAGTACTGGCACTGTGATATGCTTACTGCTGTTAAAACTGGGCTTTAGTCTAAACACTCTCCCAGGCCTGTGTGTGTTACAGAGTAAGAGACCTGATCTAGAATCATATACATTTACTGTTCAAAAGTTTAGAATCACCAAATATGTAATCTGTTTGATTTCAGATGAATGAGTTAGGGCAATTTCCTAGTCCTGTGCAATGTCATAGGTTCTGGTACAATTTTACAGCAGTGCTGCTAGGGTTTAAACACTGTGTCCACCCACTGTCCACTCTATTAGACACTCCTACCTTGCTGGTTTACCTTGTAGATGTAAAGTCAGAGACAGTAGCTCATCTGTTGCTGCACAGTTTGTGTTGGTCATCCTTTAGTCCTTCATCAGTGGTCCCAGGACGATGTTGGCTGGATATTTTTGGTTGGTGGACTATTCTCAGTCCAGCAGTGACACTGAGATGTTTAAAAACTAATAACGAAGCATTGATGATCTAAACCAAGCATTGGATGATAACTACAAATAATACAGGGCTGCCATGAGGAGAGGCTTGGAAATGGTTAAATGAGCCCCTTGACATACAGAAAATACTTACTGTATTGATTTTATTTGTAGTTTTTCCTCGTATAAGTGTTTTTCTGAGCAAATTAATGTTTACTGCCCAGATAAATTGCTTATTCTGATTTTTTTTCCACGTGCCTAAAACTTTTACATAGTACTTTGTACATATGCACTGTGTTATTGAATTTAAAGTAAAGAAAGCCACTAAGTACAAGCTACTCATTTTTCAGTATCAGGAAAAAAGCAGAAAGCATATTTAACTGAAAATTGCGGCTTCCATTCTTTTCAGGAGACTTTATTTCAATTCAGTTTTTTCAAAGAAAACCTCCAAAGTTCAGTCTTAGAAGTTGGTTGTATTTTTTGCTTCTCATAATATAAGTAATCACAAATACATATAGTGATGCAGTTATGTTGAGGTCTGGACTCTGGAACGGTCAGTGTACGGTCAGAGAACACCAGCCACTTCTTTGATTGATTTATACACTCTCACTGGGGCAGTACCCCTCTTGTCACTGGGGTGGTTCCCTCAAGGGTACATCTCAGTACCTTTTAGTCAGGGAACATAACTGTACGATAATCCACTGAAATTATATTGTCTAAGCTGTACTGACTCCACACACCCCGTCTCGTCTCCAGGCTTTTTTATTCTGGTTTTAAACATTCGGTTATGAAAAGGTATAAATACGTACTTTTCACCTGGAAAGACTGATTTAAGGTACACAGTTGGACCTTGAAACCACTGTTGTACCTTTTGAGGGAACATTTACGTTGTTTGTACCTTGATGAACGAGAAATGTAACTGCACAGAACCTTTATTTCTAACAGTGTAAATGTTGTTCTTTTTGTCTATTTCCTTTTCTCAGTATGGGCTTCTTGACAACTACACATCCTTTCAGACCCATAGCATTATCACCCATTGATTTGTCTTCTCACATAAACATCAATACAGTAAAAGCAATAGGAATTTCTTGTTTTCTGTAGAGATGTTGATGTCTTGGTTAGAAGAACACACTTGGAAGAACACTATTCTACTAATTTCCAGCACATCTGACTTAATGCAGGATTGATTTGATAAGCTAGATTTTTGCTGGTAACTGTTAATACTGGCTTGAGGAGAGCTTTAGATTTGGTTAAGCAGTTTTTTTTTGTAAATATTCTGCTGCTCTATTCTGTAGTATGACTGTTGCTTTTCTCCTTCATCTCTTTCTTATAGTGACCAAAAACTCCATTGGAACCCCCCCTGCTGTTTGAAGCTGCAATACAATGGCTCATGCTGCCTGCTAAGGCTCTGGTAGACGGGCTGTGTGGTGTCCTCACCTGTGCACAGAAATCAGATGCATCCCCAGCTGTAAAACGACTGACTGGATGGTTTTGCTGGCTAACCTGCTTATCTGCCTCAACACTCTGGAAGAGCTGACTGAACAATTATGGACCCCATTCCTTTTATGATCACATCTTAATGACAAAGAGGAGGTGATTCAGTGTCTTGCTGTGTGTAGGATGGTCGAAGTTTGAGGTTAGTCGTTGAAGGCTCTGGCGCTCAGTACTGGCACTGTGATACGCTTACTGCTGTTTAAAACTGGGCTTTAGTCTAAACACTCTCCCAGGCCTGTGTGTGTGTCTCAGAGTAAGAGACCTGATCTAGGATCATATACCTTACTGTTCAAAAGTTTAGAATCACCAAATATGTAATCTGTTTGATTTTAGATGAATGAGTTAAGGCAGTTTGCTAGTCCTGTGCAATGTCAAAGGTTCCAGTGCAATTGTACAGCAGTGCTGCTAGGGTTTAAACACTGTGTCCACCCACTGTCCACTCTATTAGACACTCCTACCTTGTCAGTCCACCTTGTAGATGTAAAGTCAGATAGTAGCTCATCTGTTGCTGCACAGTTTGTGTTGGTCATCCTCTAGTCCTTCATCAGTGGTCACGGGACGCTGCCCACAGGACGCTGTTGGCTGGATATTTTTGGTTGGTGGGCTATTCTCCTTCCAGCAGTGACACTGAGGTGTTTAAAAACTCCAGCAGCACTGCTGTGTTTGATCCACTCGTACCAGCGCAACACACACTAACACACCACCACCACAACAGGGTCACTGCAGTGCTGAGAATGATCCACCACCCCTGTAGTACCTGCTCTGTGAGGGTCTATGGGGGTCCTGACCACTGAAGAACAGTGTAAAGGGGGGCTAACAAAGTATGCAGAGAAACAGATGGACTACAGTCTGTAACTATAGAACTACAAAGTGCACCTATATGGATATATAAGATACAAGGTGCAAGATATGTGAATAAAATGCGAGATTTGTCAAGAATTATGAGCTGTAGATTTAAATATTAAATTTAAATTTAAAAAAAATGTTTTGAATTTATATAAAATGTAGAGTTTGGGACTAGATCCACCTGGATTGTCATTATGGAGTGTGATATTTATTTGTAATAATTATTTACAAATGCAGATATTGTAGCTCGGTAGCCCAACAGCATCTAAACATCCTCTCTCTTTGTTATTACAAAGAATCTGTCTTCAAATATAATTTAGAAATATTGGTCAAATCTAAATTATCTGCCCAGTGCTGACATTTTATTGTAAAGCAAATATATGCTGATACTTATTTGATTCTCAAGTCATTTTTCACCCTTAATATAGAAAAATCACACAAATTATTAATGTAAGTGAATCCAAACTTTTGAACAGTAAATGTTTTACAGTAAAAGTCCATAAATTTTGACACACCTGATTAAATTGTTTTCCACAATCTCTGACCTACAGGCTTGAAATTAGTTTCTATGTATCTGAGGGCTTTTTTTTACACCACTTAAACTCCAGCTGTCCTTAACATGTGTGTGGACATTTTATGATGAATGCACTAATAGATCTTAAAACTGAAAATACTCTATTTGAACTCTTCTTGCTTTGTAAATACAGAATATTGTTAGGATATAAAAGACAAGAATGACCATAGATCAGCAATTACTGAGGACATCAACACACATGACTCCTGATTTCATAATGAAGCAACTGAATTTCTCACGGTGTTTCATCTCTTTACGTGTTTCCCCTTACCAAATGTGAGCGTATTGCCTCATCGCGTTCTGCTTCCAGATAGGTTGGGCAACGCCAGGGAAGTGAGTGGACAGACATGCCGTAAACATGTTTACTCTGTGTGGAAACCTGTGGGGAGCATGTACTTCATGTCCTTACTGACAAGGCAAGCTGGATATGATAAATAAAAGGCAGAAGTCAAGTTATGACACAGCTGTCTTATTTCCAAAAGGGGCATGAGTCAGTTGACTGCAATTATACTTGTAGCTCATGTCGAAAGGAGACAATTAATCATGTCAAGACTGGGAAAAGACATTTGTAGGTTTTGGACGGAAAGTTCCCTAGTTCTAAAAATGGTCAGCAATATTGTATTCGACTGTTAAAGGGGCATTCCAAGCTAAAACTTGAGTGTAATGTTATTTATCATGTAGCACAGCATTGATCGTCATCAGAATTCACATTTTCGATCATCTTTTACTGCAATAAATACCATGCATCACACAAATCTATCTAAAACCATTGGGACTCCCTGCGGTGTCACCCAATCGTGACTGCAAGCCACTGATTAGGCTTGATTATAGGCTAATAAATACAACCACGGCAGCATTACTGTAACTCTTAGGCTGCTTTCAGCTGCAAGTGGGTTGGTAGTTTTCTCCAAGGAGGGACTCGTTCACCCAACTTAAGGGTTTATCACTTACATAAACAGAACACTGAGCTTCTGAAATGGACGTTGTAGTTTTATAGCTAGCCGACATCGGTTTTGACCTATTTTACTCATACGACACAGAAATAAAATATGGGGTAACTGTGCATGTTTAACATTCACTTTATCTGATTGCTCTCCGTTGTTTTACTGCTTGCTTTAATCTTCCGCCGCGACGAAAATAGTTCTGCCATCACAACTCGGCCATTTTGTGCTGCATGTGCAATTTCCATGTACCGGACTTCGAAGAGCATTCGTGTGGCACATCCTATTAGGAAATCTTTCGATCAAGACCAGCAGTATTACCTCAATCATCGTAATACGTAAAGACAACAGTGATTTCTATCTTTATTCTGTCCAAAATGGACATCAGACAAGTTTTTACCTTTTACCTTTTAGGTATCTGATTTCAGCTTATCCCCAAAAGTCGACCCCAAAGCAGTTGTAGTTTTTACAAAACTTTTCCTACTTCCAAGAAACATCGTCTGAAGGGAGTTTTCCTAGTCCCAACCCAAGAAAAACTCATTCTAGAGCAGCGGTGCCCCACTCTGGGCCTGTCCAGCCCTCTGGAAATTGAGCTGAGCACCAGTTAGTTATCTTGTTATTTCGAGAAGTTGTTATCTTGAGATAACAAGTTAATTATCTTGTGATCTCAAGATAACATAGTTGTTGTCTTGAGATAACAATTAACTTCAATCTCTGGACAGGCCTAGAGATTGTCTTGAGATGACAATTAACTTATCTCAAGACAACTACTTTTTTTTTTATCTTGAGCTCACAAGATAATTAACTCGTTATCTCGATAACAATCCAGAAAATTAGAGCAACAGCTCATGGCCTCTCCCGGCTTCCTTAGCCAAGACATATTTGTTGACAAACTTTTGCTTCTTCCGTTTAGAACTGGAGCTATGAGGCTAATGTTGCTAACAAACAATGGAAATCAGTGGTCACCCAAACAGAGATGTGGACTCAAGTCACGGATTTTATAACTAGCACCTCGACTTGATGAAATCAAGAAAGACCTGGACACCAGGTTGGAGGGCTGGTGTCCAGCAGAGTTTGATGATTTACCTGCTCAAACACACCTGATTACGCTCAACCCAGAGTTGTGCCCCCCCTGCTCTAGAGACTACTGCAGCTCCGGTGTCGGAAGTAAGTAAGCATGTTCACTGGAGCAGTGGTTATGTTTTTTGGCTGGAGTGCCTCTTAAGGCTTTTACATATCAAATGTGATGCATTAATATTAATAGGACGATCACCAAAACCTTTCACTTGAATAAAATCAGGAATACTCCTGAGAATCCGTTTAAGACAGCATTCCCCGCCCACCGCTCGAAAGAAGGAGATATTTTATCTCTTATTATGCAGAAACAGCATAATTTTAAGTGCAAGCTTCTGTTCCATCCCGAGCTGAGCCTGCTTTTGCTGTGGAGCAGAAGCTGCCCTTGAAATAATGATGATGATTACGATAAGCACGCTGATAACAGCTCTTTGTGATTGTAATGGCTCTGCTGTGATTGTAGTGTAATTAGGGGATGGAGTGAGGAGAGGGTGAACTGTCTTTTGCGGAGGGTGGCATTAATTCACAATTTGTAGGTACATCAGGCACTTAACCTGCTACCTCCTGTACGTACAGCATTAGCATGAGTAGTACTGCTTTCATTCTCAGCAGGAGCGTGATAAATAATGACTGGCAACAACAGAGAAGGACAATCGCTGCACATCTACTGTACGCAGCACGCTTTGTTTCCATCGAGGAGGAGTGAAGCCACGAGAGGGGAGAACAATAGAGTTATTGTTTGTGTGAGTGCGCAGAATTAATCCTGTCTGCATTCACCTCTTATATAATCTTGTCTTTTGTCTTCGGCCCGGCCCAGATACTCCCTGTAGTAAAGAACGCCGAAGGAGAAGAATCAGGCGTTTACTGGAGCCATTACAACATGTCTAGTGCTTCATCATTACCAGTCAAGTATTAGCCAAGTGCTATGGTCAAGGCCAGGGAAGGGCAGGCAAACTGTAAGGCAGTGACCCCTCAATGCCTCCTGCCTCTTTAAAGGGCCCGTACAGTTGTGCATCAGAGTGAAAGTTTGGTTGGTTTTTGTTGACTTATAATAGGTAATAACTTATTTATTATTATAAGAAATAAGGTAATGCATCCTCTACATGGAAACACACATAGTTATGGCTACTTTGTTCGTAAATATTATTTTTTTGCAAAATTTTAACCACAATTTCTGTTCACTTGCTGAGTTTAAAGGAAACCTGACCTTCAAGGTCTTCGCAAAAAAACACATTTACATGATTTTTCACTCACGCCAAATGCCGTCAGTCAGCCACGTACGGAAGTCCGGAGATGCCATGAGGTATTTGCAATTTTGTGAATTGTTATTGTTATCTTGAGAAAACAAGTTAAGTCTTGTGATCTCATGATAACAAAGCTGTTATCTTGAGATAATGAGTTAACTATCTTGTGATCTCAAGATAAAGTTGGTTTCTTAAGATAACGAATTAACTTCTGATTATGAGTTATCTTGTTATCCTGAGATAACCAAAGTTATCTTGAGATCATGAGTTCTCTTGCTATCCCGAGATAACCAAAGTTATCTTGATATAATGAGTTAATTATCGTGTGATCTAAAGATAAAGTTGTTACCTTGAGATAATGAGTTAACTATCTTGCAATCTCAAGGTAACAAAGCTGCTGTCTTAAGATAATGAATTAACTGCCTTGTGATCTCAACATAACAAAGTTATCTTGAGATAATGAGTTAATTATCTTATCTCGAGATAACAAAAGTTATCTTGAGATTACTAGTTAATTATCCTGTGATTTCAAGATAAAATTATTACTTTGAGATAACGAGTTAACTGTCTTATAATCTCAAGGTAACAAAGTTGTTGTCTCGAGATCACAAAATAATTAACTCGTTATCTCAAGATAACAATCCAGAATATAATAGCAGCAGCTCATGGCCTTTCTGGACTGCTGTAGCCAAGACATATTTGGTGTCAAAATTTTGCTTCTTTATTTTACAGCTTGGGCTGTGATGCTAATGTTGCTAACAAACACTGGGAGTCAGTCCTCTCCCAAACAGAG